TAAAGGTGATCAGAAGAGTTTTATCACATTCTAGACTTATCTGATCATTTCTTTTTGATATCTGCCTCATGACATTTTCTATATATTTGTATGATTATATCTAAGTTGCACATTTTGGGCAAAATTTACTTCATAGGTAATGGTGTGTACTTCTTATATATAAGACCCAGAAATACAAAATGAAAGTTTGTGCCACTATTATTGATTTATTAGTTGGCATTTGTATTTAAAGGTAATTCCATATTGATAATATTCTTCAAAAATGGTAGGATTGTAAGGGTCCGGCGAAGCGTCGGAGAAAGAGACCACCAAGTGACCACTCATGCAATTGGCAGAAGGGGATTTATTGAACCAGCATGCTGGGGCTCCGTGCCCACTCAAGAAGGGAAAGCAGCCCAGAGCCCCGAGCAGGGGCTGAGCACTGCTTAAGTACACTTTTTTGGGGGAGGGCGGGGATTTTACATACATCACAGTCTCCTTTAACAAATCATTATACACCGCATGAAAATCAAACAACAATTCCTAAACATGATTAGTTCATTCATCGGCGGGAACAGGTCAGGCGGGAGTGATAGGTCAGTTCTAAACGGGGTACACATTCAAACTGATTGGTTTAGGCCTTGCAAGGCCTACGTGCGAGATCACACAGAGCCCTGAATTATTAAACAACCAAGCAGTCAGGGGGAATATTTACTGGGCGGTTCTAAGCATTGTCTTAACAGCTACAGGAATTTCAGGTTTTGCAGGTAGCATAGAAACCTAACAATACCTAATCCTTTACATTTTAACCCAGACCTCGCAGCTTAGAAACTTTACAATACCCAGTCTTTTACCCTTTAACTTTTACGGTTTAACTTCAGTTTCTTTTACCCTTACAGGATAATTGTAGTTTTCTCACATTAACAGTTCATAGTTATATAATAGTCTCCTCAGGTGGTAACAAGTGAAATTCTTTTTTTAAGCCCCCTCCCCCACTTTTTTTTTTTGGTACCAATTATTAAACTCAGGGGCCCTTAACCACTGAGCCACATCCCCAGCCCTTTTTTGTATTGAGACAGGGTCTCACTGAGTTGCTTACAGCCTTGCTAAGTTGCTGAGGCTGGCTTTGAACTCCTTCTGCCTCAACTTCCCGAGCTGCTGTGATTATAGGTGTTCACCACCTCACCCAGCTTGCTCTTTCTTCATATAATTATAGATTCATGAACTTTTTAAAAAAAATTTACTGTTACCAGTTTTGGCTTTAAATTAATCTTTCTGTCTATCTGTCTACTTATTTTGGTACCAAGGATTGAACCCAGTGGCCCTTAAACACCAAACCCATCCCCAGCCTGTTTTTTTTTTTTTTTTTTTTTTTTTTTTTGGAGTAAGGGTCTCACTAAATTGCTCAGTGCCTTGCTAAGTTGCTGAGGCTAGTCTTGAACTTGGGATCCTCCTGCCTCAATCAACAGAACTACTGGTATTACAGGTATGTATCACTGTGCCTGGTGTATATTCCACCCCCCCCCCCCCATGGTCAGAGCATCTCAAATTTAGCTGGTCAGAGCACCTCAATGCTGTCTTCTGTGTCCTTGTAACATGATTTTGACACAAAGATTATGAGTGTTTCTAGTGGTATATAAAACAGTACCTTCACTTGACATTTCTATTAACATTCTTAGAATTCCATAAACATTTGAAAGATTCCAGAAATCCTGAAAAATCCTTCAGAACTCTAGAGGATGGAAGAATATAAATGCCATTCAGCAAGAAGCCTATGAGTTGTCTGTTTGTTTTTCCTGAGAAATAAACACTAGGGTTTATTATTAATAATATAGTCAAACTCTACTTTCAAAGAGCAGAAGTTCAGGGTAGGCTTTGAGGAATTCCCCATTTAATTATGGGGAAGAAGATTGTTTAATAGCCTAAGGAATCTTTCAAATCAGAGATTGGCTCATAATACCCTCACTCTACCTTGACAACAGCAGTGACCTTTTAATAAGTAATACATTTTTTTATCTTAAAAAATAAAAAGGAACAAATATGTTCTGTTATCCCAGTGCTGTTCTAAGGTTAACTCTTCATTGGCTGTTAATGCTTGCTCATACACTTAATCTAATATTTATATCCAAAATATTCATGTTGAAATCTTGCTCTCGGTTTTAAGTTTACAAACTAGATGAACAGTTTGACAAATTAATGTTTAAGATCTTAGTTTAAAGACAATATAAGAGGTTGGGGACTAGTTCAGTGGTAGAGCATTTGCCTGGCATGCATGGTTCAACTCCCACTATTATGATAAATGAATAAATGAACGAATGAATGAATGAGTGGAAGTGGTGTTGAAAACAAAATTGAGTAGTATCATTTGGAATATATGTTTTTAGAGCGAGTATAATGAAATGGTAGGTAAAGTTGTTTACACATTTGTACACATTTATATTCTGAATAACATGGATCTAAGAAATGTCAGCCATTCTTTTTATTTCAGTTTGTGAGCTGTACATCAAAGAGTAGCATTTGCTAGAAAAACCTAAGAGATCTGTAGCACATGATCCTAGAAGATGTCACTTTGCCTTTTTGATTCACACTCTGTCTCCAGTCTTGGACCACCTTTTGCTTACCTAAAATAGCAGTGTTAAAGGAGGCATTAAGTTTCTTCATATTCTCAATAACATCTATAGACTTGGTGTATGATATAAATCTGATTCTGATTTTGGCAGAATCACCCCCATTTTCTGGTGGTAGCAGATGGACAGTTTATTCTAGTGACAAGAATCATTCTACTCTCAAGTCATATCCCTTTGGGGGGGGGGGGGCATGGGGAGTGTTGCAAATTGAACCCCAGGGCTCTGAACTACATCCCCAGCTCTTTTTTTTAATTTGGGAAAGGGTCTTGCTAAATTGCAATCCTCCTGCTGTAGCCTCCCAAGTTGTCAGGATTATAGATGTGCTTTAATCAAGCTGAGTTTTTCCTTTCCTTTCTTTTTATGTAGTACTGGTGATTGAACCTAGGACTTCATACATGCTAGGCAAGTGTTCTACCACCGAGCTAACTATATCCCTTAGCCCTCAACTTTCCCATTTTCTATCTTTGTCTCCAAACTTTAATTCTCAATGGTAGTATGTGTTCTTTTCCCCAGTTTAAAAAAAAATACTCTTTAGATTTGCCTATCTTAGTCAAGCCCTTGGTAAAGCTTAAGAAATGAGTAAGTATAGGATTCTAGAAGTCTGCTGTCCATGATCTCAAGGTACCTATAATAGCAGAGTGGATGCTTGAGGGGAATGTTGGGAAGCTTCTGGCAAACTTTATATCTGCTGATGACAACATAGTCTCTAGGGGAGAATAATTTCTAATTTTCCTTCACCATCAAAATGTTATATGAGGGTCATGTCATTGGTGGATTCTCATAATAGAATTCTGCTGTCATGTGGTATATGGGAAGTGCTTCTAAGATCCTGTCATAGATGGGAGGGGTGAAAGATAGGGATGGTGTGTTCTGTAAACAGGAAATGTCCAGCACACTCTCTTAATTAAAAACTGGTTAGCTCATAATATGTGATCTTGCTTAATTATCAACTTACCCTAATAGCAGTATCTTACATCAATAAAATTATAGTTGAGGCATATAAATTGAGAAGATCCTTGAGCTTTTATCTAATACTTCTATTTAGGGAGGCTCCAAATAATACAGGAACAAGGTATTCATAAGTTACTCCTTAAAACCGACTTTGACTTTAAAATTTTATGTATATTTATTTTTAAAGCACTCATACAAAAATTTCAAATGTATTCACCTCCCATCCAATTCTGTAAGTATTTAGTGTTATTGATGTATTTTCCCCACTGTAGTCTTAAGTATATAGAAAACATATACTTTTTAAAACATTCAGGTTTTATATTTCTTATACAAATTACCTTAGAAGTCTATCAGAGACCTCTTTCTATGTCAATGCATATATAGCATTCATTTTTTAGGTGGGCTGAATTGAATTACATTTTATAGAAGTAACCTAAGATCAATCTCTTACTGAAGGACAGTTCATTGAATAAACATTAAGCAATTACTATGTATTGATATTCTTTTCTAAATGCTCAGGATGGATTAATAAATGAGACAAATAAGGTCCTTGTTCTCAAGATTTTGTGAGGAGAAACAGATATATAAATAATTTTATTATTTGCTTTGATTTATTTTTTTCCTTATTTTCATTGGTGCATTACAGTTGTACATTATTTGGGGATTTGTTATTGTATATTCGTACATGCACACAGTAGAACAATATAATTTGGCCAATATCATTCTCCATTATGTCCCTTTTCTCTTCTCTCCTCTCTTCTCTACCAATCTCCCTTCACTTTTTATGAGATCACCCTCTACCCTTTTTTTTCCCCTTTTCTGACTTCCACATGTGAGAGAAAACATGACCCCTGACTTTCTGGGTTTCACTTATGTTCATGAAATATTCTCAAGTTCCATCCATTTTTCCCACGAATGATATAATTTCTTTTTTTTAATGGTTGAATAAAACTCCATTGTGTACATATACCACATTTTCTTTATTCATTCATCTGTTGATGGGCACCTAGGCCGGTTTTGTAGTTTGGCTGTTGTGAATTATGCTGCTGTAAACATGGGTATGTATGTATCATTATAGTATGCTGACTTTAGTTCTTTGGCTTTAATTAGCTTTTAGACATAGTAATTGAAGTAACACTAATAGTAAAGTTAGGACAGAAACATTGAGGGGTAGGTGTTATGTCTCTGGGTGTATGTATGTGTGATATTCATGACATGACATTCTTTTTAATGGCTGTGTAGTAATCATTGTTGGCATATATATGATTTAGTTAACCAGTATAGGAATTTTCTTTTTTCTTACAAAGGAATGTGTCTCTCTCCCAACCCAGTATTAACAACATAGTACATTTAATTTTGTGATCTAAGTTTTTGTGTATAACTATTCCTCTGTTTTATTATCTATTCCTTTCTAAAGATTTTGGTTTCATTCCTGTATTTTAGGTCTACGGATCAATGGAGAACTAATCTCTGCCTACCCCCAAGTGGTGGTTGTGAGAGTTCCAACCCCTTGGGTACAAAGTGATAGTGACATCACTGTTTTGCGCCATCTAGAGAAGATGGGATGTCGATTGATGAACCGACCCCAAGCCATCCTTAACTGTGTTAATAAGTTCTGGACATTTCAAGAATTAGCTGGCCACGGTGTTCCTCTCCCAGATACTTTCTCTTATGGTGAGGCCATTAGTAAGAGTATATGTCCTAAGTGTTCAAAGCACTGATAATTTTGAGATCCATATTAATTTATATTGTAGATTTGTGAACATGAAGAAGCTTCTTAAGAGAGTGACTTTCAGTATTAAGAATTTTGAATTATGTCTTCAGATTAGTTTCACAGTATGAGGTAGAATGAGGTTAGCAAAAATTTTTGGTAAAGTTCTTTATGGTAACCTTCAATAATACTGTTGTGCAGAAACTGCTAGAGACAATGCTTAAGTGAGTTTGGCTCTGTTCTAATTAACTATCATAAAAGTAAACGGCAAGCCAAAGTTTGAGGTAAAAGATAACAATTTTATATTTGTGTGATTTCTTATTGTCATTATAATTTTCATAACTTCATAAATATATTTTTTAAGAAAATATCTTAAGTGCTTTAAAACAGTGTTTCTGAAACTATCTGTAGTTTCAGAATCTTTTTTTTTTTTTTAAAGATCCATCTGCTAAGAATTAATACTCCTGTAAAATACAATAAAAATATCACCACAGTTGCTTTAAAGCTTCTAGTTAGTGTTTACTCTGTTTGTGTTTATCATATGTCAATAACAAGTCATAAACATGCACAGGTTACAAGACCATACTTTGAGTAGCAGTGCTATGAACAATATTATGTTAAAGTATTTCTTGCCCTTTCAGTTTTTCTAGTTTGGAAAAGATCAGTACAGTATTTTCCAAAGACATTTCTCTAAATAAATCTCCAGTTGAATACTTGGAGGTTCTCCCCCCCACCCTCCCGCCACTTTCTTTAATTCAGGTTTAGGAATCAAACCCAGAGCCTGATGGATGCTAGGCAAGTTCTCTACCTGTAATCTATACTTCCAGCCTTTATTTAAAAAAAAAAAAAAAAAAAAGTGGATCAATGAGAATTCTGTCTTCCTGATACTTTTGGGATATTAGCTTATATTATGGGTTCTGGAATTCTGGTTTTTATGAGAATAGAAAGAAGAAAAAGGTTAATCAAATCCATCAACTCTAATATTGATGGATTAAAATTTGTTGGCTGAATTATTTTAATTTCTCTAAACTGCAAATTAACTTTTTCATGGCTTGATTTCCCTCTATAATCATGCTGAGTTTTTACTAGCTACATTCTATTTATTCTAATCTTGCTGTTGTATCATTTGTTCCTGGGCAATAAAGACAAGTAAGAAACAAGACAACCCATGGATTCTGAGTGCTTCAGTATAGAATGAACTCTTATTAATCACAGCATAACAATAAATAAGCTGTGTGTTTGATAATTAAGAGAGGTATGTATGCCTGCATCTGTAGGTGTATACATGCATGCAGTATCTCCTCAACCCTGAATAAATCTTTTGTTAACCAACTCAGTGTTCAGTGCCCCCACCACCACTCCCCCACCCCCCGCCCTAGTATTGGTGATTGAGTACAGGGCCTAGTTAGTATTCTACCACTGAGCTACACCTTATCCAGCCTTCGTTGTTTAGTTTCTTAATCTGAGGAAGGAATGTATATATTAAGTCTTGTGGCTTTGGTTATTTGTGTGGTGGAGGGTTACAGTATTAAAAATATGAAAAATGATATTATTTTTAACTGAAAGACACTTTCTTTAGGTTGGATATCAGAATATGTACAGTTTAAGAAAGCTATTACCTGTTTTACAAGGAGTAGTTTTTAAAAACTGATAACTGAGTAATACTTTCAACTTACTTGTGTTCTCCAAGAAAACATTAGCTACATACAGACTCTTACTTTTTACCTTCCTGTACTATTTATTTTTGGCCTCCATAAAATTGTTCACAAAATACTTCTGTTGTTCTTAGATTTCTTTCTTTTTTTTTTTTTTTTTTTTTTCCTAAACCAGGTGGCCATGAAAATTTTGCTAAAATGATTGATGAAGCAGAAGTACTGGAGTTCCCAATGGTAGTGAAGAATACACGGGGTCATAGAGGTATTGTATAAGTTCTTGACTTGATACAGAATTTTTAAATTATTTTTGAAAATTAATAAGGGTGATTTTGTAACAGAATGCTGAAGAATAAAGAGAAATTGATAGGTACATGACATGTCACACTTCTAGGTGATTATTGCAAGATAAGTTTAACTAGAAGCTGTTTCTGTTTAGAGTTGTTCTAGATGCTTTACATGCACATTCATAGTAAGCCTCAAATTAATTACTTTTATCTTCCTTCTTAAAAATTTGAACACCTTAGATCTCTAACTTAAATCATCTCTCTCCCAATTTATAAATTTAAATTCTTGGATACTTAAGGCAAACTATAAGTCTTTTTATAAGAGTCTGTGAAAATATATAATGACTTCAAGTTAAGGGAAGAATGTTTAAGGCATAAAATGATTTATAAACATGAGGACTACAAATTTAGTGCTTTGACTGGGATGGCTGGATCAGTTTAGCTGGAACTGTTGACTGAATCAGAAGAGACATGGGTTTTGTCCCCCAAGAAAGGAATTTATAATTACATTTAAAAAGAGCTACTTTGATTGGCACAAAAATAGGAATAGAACAGACTAATGAATTTAGAAATAAGTTGACATGTATAATAACATGCTATGTTACTCCATACTAATACAGTATTAATATTATACAATAGTATATGACACTTATACTTTTAACTCAGAGGGAAAAGTTTTGTTAATAAATGATGCTAGCATTATTGGCTAATCTCTGGATTTTTACCTTTCAGCATTTGCCAAAATGAGTTCTAGTTTACCATAGAGTATGGAGGTTGAGGGAATGGTAGAAGAAGATTATTAGCTTTGTCTTTAAACATTCTTGTATTATCTGATTAATTATAATTAAACTACATTCTAACAAGGAAAACTTTAAAAAGTGTAATTTTTTATTTCCTTTTCTTTTTCTTTATACCAAGAATTGAACCCAGGGACACTTTGCCACTGAGCTATATCCCCAGCTCTTTATTTTATTTTGTGACAGGATCTCACTAAGTTGCTGATGCTGGCCTCAGACTTGTATCCTCCTGCCTTAGCCTCCCGAGACCCTGAGATTATAGACAAGCACCATCATGCCCAGCTGTAATTAGTTTTGAAAGAATAGATTGGTACTCAAGAATGTGCAGGTAGTAGATATTAACTGTCCACAGTTTGACTTATGTGTATATATTATTCTTTTTAAATCACAGGTAAAGCTGTTTTCTTGGCTCGAGATAAACATCATTTGGCTGATCTAAGCCATCTTATTCGTCATGAAGCTCCATACCTGTTCCAGAAGTATGTTAAAGAGTCTCATGGACGGGATGTGCGAGTCATTGTTGTCGGAGGCCGTGTTGTTGGTACCATGTTACGTTGTTCAACAGATGGGAGAATGCAAAGCAACTGCTCACTAGGTAAAAGTAATGCAGGTGTCTTTCTGATATATAAAGTAAATGTTATAGCTTTTGTCCAGTATTTGTATACAGCTATAGGCCTTTTTACTTAATAAGTAAATGGTTTGGTATGCACAATTACCGGCATCTATGGTAAGGAGAGGGGTGTCTTACAACATATTTCCCACAGATGAGGGAGGATTACTGTATATTGCAAGACAAATCATATCTTGCTCATAGTCCTTTAGGAACTCCCCATTTAATTTAGAGAAAAACAAGTTTATGTAGTGGCTACTAGACCCTACATAATTTTATTACTAGTTACTTTTCTGAGATCTACAACCACATGGATGAATCTCAAAAACATCATGTTGAATAAAAATGCAAGTCAGAGGAGAATATATGTAGTCTGATTCCTTATTATGTAAAATTTAAATATACAGCAAAACTTAACAGTGCATAGTTAAGAATGCAAACATTATAAAACTATAAAGAAAAAGCAGTGTGTTGATAAGCTTGAAATTCAACATAAAGACTTATTTCTGAAAATATAGGATATAGAGTAGGAGCACACAGAGAATTTGAAAGGAATTAGTTATATAATTTTCATTGTAAAATTATCTCCTTAGTTATATTAATTCCAGAATTTGTTTGTTTGTTGAGGTTGTTGTGAATGGAATGATTTTCCTGATTTCTTCTTTGACTGAATCACTGTTGGAGTACAGGAAAGTTGTGGGTTTATGGGTGTTGATCTTGTATCCTGCTACTTTGATGAACTCATTTATAAGCACTAGAAATCTTTTGGTGAAGTTTTTTTTTGGGTCTTCTAGGTATAGGATCGTGTCATTGCAAACAGATAGTTTGACTTCTTTTCTTATTTGTATCCCTTTGATTTCCTTTTCTTACCTGATCCCTGGCTAGTGTTAGAAGGAGTATATTGAGTGGTGAGAGTGGACAACCTTCTTCCTGATTTTAGAGGAAATACTTTTAGTTTTTCTCCATTCAGTATGATGTTGGCTTTGGGTTTGTCATAAATTTATGGCGTTTATGAGGTTGAGCTAAGTTCCTTCAATCCCTAGCTTCTCCAGCATTTTTCATGTGAATGAATACTGAATTTTATCAAAGGCCTTTTCTGCATCTTTTAAGATGATTATGTGATTCTTGCCCTTACTTTTTTTTAAGTGGTGAATTGCATTTATTGATTAGTGTATGTTGAACCAACCTTGTATCTCTGGAATGAAACTTACATGAAAACTATCTTTTTTCTGTCTTTTTTTTAATGTGGTTAGCTAATATTTTGTTAAGGATTTTTGCATCTATATTCGTCAGGAGTATTGATCCGTAGTTTTCTTTCCTTGATGTGTCTTTGTCTAGTTTTGGTATCAGAGTTATACTAGCTTTATAGAATGTATTTGGGAGTGTTCTCTCCCTTTAATTTCATGGAATAGTTTGAGAAAGATTGGTATTAATCTTTCTGTACAGTCTGGTAGAGCTCAGCTGAGATTCCATCTGGTTCTGGGCTTTTCTTTTTTTTCTAAGGCTTTTAATTGCTGTTTCAGTTTCATTCACTTGATTATAATGTATATCTTCTTCCTGATTCAATTCAGGCAGGTTATGTGTGTATAGAAATTTGTCAGTATCTTCTAGATTTTCTAGTATATTGGAGTAGAAGCTTTCAAAATAGGTTCTGATAATCCTTTGGATTTTAGAAGATTCTATGGTGATATCTTCTTTTTCATCTTTAATCTTATTAAATCTTCTCTCTCTTACCCTTGATTTTCTAAGTGATTTCTCAAAAATGACTGTACTCTCCTTCAGTTCCCATTTATTATCACGGTCATCATTATCACCACTACCACCAGTGATACTGGGGATTGAACCAAGGGTGCTTTACTCTGAGCTACATCCCAAGCCCTTTTTAAATTTTGAAACATGAACTTGCTAAATGGCTGAGGTCCTCATTAAATTGTTGAAGCTGGCCTTGAATTTGCAATCCTTCTACCTCAGCCTCCTGAGTTGCTGGAATTAACAGCTGTGTGCAAACATACTGACTTTCCTTAAGTTCCTCTACTGAATGTTTTCGTTCTGTACTTGGTGCTGTACCACTGAGCTATATCCCCAGCCTTTTTTTTAAATTTTGGGACAGTCTCATTAAGTTGCCCAAGCTGACCTCAAACTTGAGATCCTCCTATTTCAGTCTCCTGAGTAGTTGGGATTACAGGTGTGCACCGTTGTTCTTGGATGTTCTCTACTGAATTTTTTAAATTGGGAAATCATGTTTTGTTTTTGCTTTAGAAAGTCTTTTTAAATTGAACTTGAATCTCATTAACTTCTTATTTCTTTCATTCAAGTGGTAGATTGATTTTTATCTTGTTGTTGCATCAGTGCTCACTCAGCTCTGGTTATTTGCATCATTTTATGTATGTCCTCTGCAGACACTGGGAAGCCTTGTTTCTTGAACCTCCCCTACCAGCTTTGGTGGTAGGGAGGACTCAGCACACCAGTCTAGCTACTCTTTGGCCTCTTTGAATTCAAGGAGAAAAGCATGCTCATGTAATATTGTTAGAGGTACTTCTGTGAATGCACAGAGCTGTTTCACTCAAACTTTTCTCAAAGGTCTTTTCCTTCTTTCTCTCTTCAGAATCCTGAAGCTAGTCTCCAAGAGAGAACCTAGTTCTGCTTCATTTCTCTCAAATAAGAGCAAAGCCCATATATCACCGTGTTCAACTAGTTCACAACCCAGAAGCTTTTTTATTTTAGGAATGGCAAGATAAATTAGAGTGTAGGTTGTATAGAGGAACAGAGCCATGTTCAGCCATTCTTTCCTAGGTCTTTATTTTTCATCTCAGCTGTCTTTTCAAATTAAAAATTTGTAAAAGTTTTTTCTTATGTAACATAAAGTGGCCTAATTGTTTTTGTGCAAAAGTTCATTATATAATTAGCACTCTATATCTACAGGTTCTGCTTCCAACGATTTAACAAACTACAGATTGAAAATATATATTTTTATTCCATCAAATTCCAAAAACAAACCTTGAATTTGCCATGTGCTAATCTGCAAATCAAGTGATGTATGGGCATACCCTGCTGTAGTCTCCTGCCATATGACAGATCCTTGGTCTCTCCTCACACTTGTTGTTTGAGCATTGTTCATCTTGAGTCTTCTTTTTGTAATGTGCAGTTAGGCCTGCAGTGATGATGTTGTATTGAACGTGTTGGAGGTATTTTGGGGTCATTACTCCTAAACAGTACAGTATAAGAACTTTGTATACAGTGTTTACATTGTATTCAGTATTGTAAATAATCTAGAGCTTATTTTAAATTTTGTACTACATCATTTTGTGTGAGACTTCAGCATGTGTAGATTTTGTATTTGAATGGTTGTGGAACCATTTCCTGTTGGTTATCAATGAGTATGTGTCTTAGGTTCATATTATTGCAAGTAAGATGTGCTTTAGAGAAAGTTTAATGACTTTCTCAGAAAAAGTAACATTGAAAAAGTGCTAAAGTCAATTCTTTAAGAGACTAGATAAGGACAGAATCTCTAATGCAGTAAATCTAGAGTCCAAAATTCCAGTTATATACTAGAATAGCACCTTTGTTTTCATTACAGATTTAGAAGAGAGGATTAGCCTAATGAGACTAACATCAGTTTTACTTCAAAACTTTGTTATTTTGGTAACTTTTTTCTTGTTTCTCCTTTGCCAGGTGGTGTGGGAATGATGTGTTCATTGAGTGAACAAGGAAAGCAGCTAGCTATCCAGGTGTCTAATATCCTGGGGATGGATGTGTGTGGCATTGACCTGTTGATGAAAGATGACGGCTCCTTCTGTGTCTGCGAGGCCAATGCAAATGTAGGTTTCATCGCCTTTGATAAGGCTTGTAATCTAGATGTAGCTGGTATCATAGCAGACTATGCCGCCTCCCTTCTGCCCTCTGGCCGGCTCACCCGGCGTATGTCCCTGCTCTCCGTGGTGTCCACGGCCAGTGAGACTAGTGAGCCGGAGCTGGGTCCCCCTGCCAGCACTGCTGTCGACAACATGAGCGCAAGTTCCAGCTCTGTCGACAGTGACCCTGAAAGCACGGAGCGAGAGCTACTCACCAAGCTCCCAGGGGGCCTATTCAACATGAACCAGCTGCTAGCCAATGAAATCAAACTCCTAGTGGAGTGACTCCACTGGTAAATAATTAACCAACAAAACCCTTGTAAAACCTTCTTTTTCTTTTTTCCCTTTTCTTTTTTAAGCCAACTTGCAATGCTGTTCATGGAGGATGCTCAGGAGGATGAGAGGAAAATTAGTAGGATTAGTTGAGAGAAGAGGGAAATAGATGAGACCTTTGCTAGTAAGATATTACTGACTAATTTACAGATTCTACAAAGAGGCAGAAGAGGTGGGATAGAACGATGTCAGGAGGCTCTCTTAGTTACTTTTTAAATTACCAAAAACTGTATGCTTTCAGGCCATGAGGCACATGAAAATTTTGTTCATGGTTCCTTTTGTTTTTATACAAAACATTGATTTGGTTCAAATATCCGATAGCATAACCTTACATTGTGTTTGAAAATTTGTAAAGAGTGAGGAAAACATCTGCCTAAATTACAGGAATTTTTTATCTGTAAATCTGAAAATTCTACCATTTTGCTGTTAAATAGCAGCTTTAATTTATAGTTGTTTATGAAATCTTAAGGGGCTCTTTTATTGGTATTTTTCATTTTTATGTTTTGTTTTTTCCCCTTAATTTGGGTGGGAGGGCAAAGTAAATATAACCCAATAAAGACATTTTTTTAATGACAAAATTGGCATGTTTGCATGATGACAGAGAAATGAACAGTATTGCAATGTCTGGTATACAAAATAACATTTACTCAATGTAGATAAAGTTACACTAGTTTAAAATATGTGCATTGACTTGTATTTGTTAGTGTTTTAGTCTTTTTTGAAAGATATATGCTCTGTTAATGTTACTTTTTTTTTTTTTTAATACATGCTAGTCTAACATTCCCTGCTCTATGCCTGCATCTTTTAATAATGGCCAAAGTGGAAAAAAAAAAAATGCTACCTTTTTGTTAACAAGACATTGACTTGAAACATGTACATTTAAAACCTTTTATTTTTTTTTTCTGTTTTTCTCTTTGTGGTTGGACATTTAAAGAATAAGGACAAGGAAAAATATTTTGGGGGGGCACATCAGGGACCTATAATTTCTTAAGTATGAAGCTAAAGTGCTTTCTAACGCCAGCGTTACATATTTGCATTTTTCACATTTTACAAGGGAGTATATATGTATGTGTGTGCACGCATGCATGTGTTTGTGTTTTGCTTTTTATTTATACCAACCAAACAAAAAGGATAGATTGTAGAGAATGGAGCATGATGGGAAACACAGTTTTTTACTTTAAAAAACAGATGCATTGTTTTCATGACTTAGACTCCACTGGGGTAGAGGTAGTCACCTAAAGACATAAGAATAGGTGCTTCTTAGGCCTTCATGTGTATTATATGTATGTTGTTTGGTTTTTTCCTTTGTTTCTAGACTGTTCCGTGTATGATTTATTCAAAGCTACATGCTTTTTGTCAATGCTCATGGCTATGCATTTTCTCTTTTTACACATAGGATTTGGGGTTGGGTAGACTGGATGTTTTTATTTGGGGATTAAATTAGCAGTATTGAGTCTCATATAGCCCTACTCCTAAGCCTTCAGTACTGACCACTCTTTTTATTCCTTTATTTTCTGAATCACAAAAGCCCCAGAACTGCATATAATATGAGCCTTTATAACATTGGTTAAATTATCTTAATGATGGGTTTGGAAGGTATGTTAAGAAATGGAGATGCTACAGAGCTCAACATAATTTTTTAAACAGCAAGTTCCATCTCCCTACAAATCCTCTGAAGCTTTTACCCAAGCCCTTCTTTGCCTCTCCAGTGCTATTTTTCCTTCAGATGGACCTTAACATAATTTCTTGGACACTACTAGAGAGACTTCGAGGCAATAATAAAAGATCAGTATTAACCAGCTCTAACAGAGGTTTGATCATGCTTACTTGTACAGCTTTTCCCCGTTTTAAAAAGGAATGTAATAAAACTTGTTTTTTTCCATAGAATTAAATACTATTAAAATTGAGTGAAAGGTTGATTGTTGACAAATAGAATAGTACCTCTAATCTGTGCACTGTCTCATTTCACCTGAGAAAAAATATAACTGAAGAGAAGTTTCTAATTTATCTTTAGTATATTCTAATTGCATCTAAAAGAATTTGACTTGCACAGGGTTATTGGGGGACTCAGACTCACATAAGTACCTCTGCCTCATTAACAAAAAGAAATACTTGGTACTTCTGCCGAATGACCATATTTTGAAAGGTGCATACTATTTGGTATAGAGAAATAAATGAAGAACTGCTTAATCAAACTATCATTCATATGTTCATGTAGAGACCATCTGGTTGCCATACATATTATGATACATATACTTTGAACAGTTATATATCATATGTATATAGGTTAATATGTATTTAAAAACACAAAATGAACAACCTCCTTATTTGATGAAAAACTAATTTTGTGTTGTGGGTAAGGGATGAGGAAAAATGTAGTTAGCCATTTTTTAACAACCAAATTAAGCAACCATTTTCAAGAAATATCTGAAATCTTCACCTATACTTTTACTCCCTGTTTGTCCATTTTCTGTGCATTCATACTATATTAAAACATGACCAATCTATTTCTGGAGTTCATACTCACACATTAGAATGAGAAGGTTAGGAATGATCATATTAGATTTCAAAAACATGGGTATCTTGAATTTCCTCAAAAATTAAGGTAAAGAACAAGAAAAAAAATGCTGGAAGAACTCAAAGTGAATATCAGCATTAGATATTTAAGTGGTAGTTGAATTTATTTTCATAATTGTTCAATAACTTTTGTATGATCTTCACTATTATGAGAGATAAAATGTATTTATCAAATATATGTAATCATTATCATGCCAAATTCTGAATTATTGTTAAATTTTTGTATATTGTTAAAATTGTAATTCTAAATTGTATTTTTAAAATAATTCTTTCTGATATTGTTTTTATGTCACCCATGATGAAAACTGGACTTTTACTATATTATCTATACATATGAACTATTTCCATTTAAAAATTTTTAATAGTCTTTTTTCTTTTTTGGTGCCTATAATTGGTCATTTCTGCTGGCTTTTCTCCAATGAACTTTGAAAAAATCTTTCTGTATATGCTATCAATAAGAAAACTACCCTGGAACATTAGAAAAATCCAACAAGAGACTTGCTTTCATGGAGCACTTTGTCAGACTTTGAGAAAAGGTACCGAAGGCATTGAAAAAAGTCACTGACTTTCAAAATCATCTCCTTTTTTTCTCAAGAAGAAAGCAATGGGAAAACAAATTCTCTTCGTTCAGTGAGCCCCCACTTTGGGGCTTGGGGGGCTTAGAGACATTGTGAAATCAACCCTTGTGTTATATTTTTCTCCTGGCTCGCTTTTTTTGAGAAGGTTTATGGGCTATTTGGCTGGTGAGACACGATCCCCTCCTAAGAAAATGTAGGTGCTCAGACAGGTAACCTCTGCTGCTACTGTTTTTATTTGTTTGTTTGTTTAATTTTATTTAAAATTTGTTTTTGTTGTACTAGGATTTTAAAAATATGTAATATATTGCAGGATTTATAACCAGGTTCACTGCTCTTTCTTTTATTTTTCTTCTTAAACAAAACAAAACAAAATTTCATTTAAAATACAGTGTAGGTGCATTTGAAGCTTGGATATTGGAATATTTCGGTAGTGGACAGAAATCTGCTGTTGGAATCTCTAGTCTTCCAGGTTTAATTTGAAATGTTTTTAGTTTTGTTTTCGATTTTTGTGTGGTATTTTATTTCCTTTATACCAGTGCCCTTTTGCCATGCTGTTTTGGTGGCTGTCTAACTCTAGTGAAAATTTTTCTATATTAACGAAAGTTTGGCTTTTAAAATTCCTTAATGTTTTGGATTTTTAAAATTGTTTTTAAAGAAATATTCTAATTGCTTGCACTGTTACTGTTCTTTGCCAGCCTTTTCAGGAGCCAAAAAAACAAATACAAACAAACAAAAAAATACCCAGAGAAAAAACTTTCCTTCTTCCCCCTTCCTGATGATGAGTGAGAAGTATTGAGAACTTTCGGGGTCAGTGCCCTTCTAAACTCCCCTTCCCCCAATAATGCAGCTGTATAATGAATGCTAAATGCAGCGGTTTGGATTCAGGCACAGCCCCAGCCTGCTTGCAGGTAATTTGACTCTCCTTTCTTTCCATCACAAGGCTAACTTTACTTTTCTTTTTAAAAGTTTCCTTTATTTATGCACTTTAAAGGCAATGTGGGTTTGTCATAACTGTCATTTAAAAAAATAATGCATAAATATATCTAGCAAATTTGATTAAAGGAGATGTTTTGTGGGTAACATTTGAATTGATTTGAGATGAACTCAGAACTTTTCTTTGGGAATTTTGTTTAGCCATTTAGATAATTCCATTCCTTGCATATATGTCTATAATTAAGTATTTCAGAGTGTGACTTTTGGCTTTGTTTTTGTTTTGGGTTTGTTTGTTTCTTCCATTGTGCTACTCTGGCTTAAGCTTTTTCAGGGGTTGGTGTTCCGAATACACAGTGAGCTCACAGTATAAAGACATCAATTAGGAGTTGACAGGTATGGAAAACTAGAGTTTTGAAAAGGTAAAATTAGGTTGTAGGTTATATATATGGTAAAAACTCACCATAGCATTCAATTACCTTAGTGCTTCTCTTTCAATAACATAATTATAAAAGGGAAAGAAATGATGAAATATAGATAATAAAAAAGCATTTTAGTTATGGAAGCACTGTCATATCAGAAGTAATTAGCATTTCTGAGAAGCTAGCTCTTAGAGAAATAAATGTGAACAGTTTAAGATTATCACAAAGTCAAGGTTTTAAGCAATCAAAAATTACAGTTAGAATAGTTTGAACAGTTAAGAAAAGCATTACTGAAGCACAACATAGTTAAGCAGATTCATGATGATCATAAAGCCAGTAGCAGGAGTAGGAGTGCAGCTTGTCCATTTCAGTAGCCTTCCTATTAGTAGACTATCCCCTTCTCTCTCTGTCCCCATCCACCCACCTTTTCCTCCTTTCTTCTGTCCTTCTGCAAGTTTTAGTTTTAATATGAGAGCTTAAACTACCATATTTTTGCATTTTGGTAAATAATCCTCATTTCCAGTATGTTAGAATGGCAGCAAAAGTAGGCAGTACCTTTTCTGTATATGCTTCTGCATAATTTTATACTGTAGCTTTAAATTTCTTATCCAAAAAGGCTATAAGTTTTAAAAAACTACTAGTTAGTTAAAAAGAAATCCTGACTCGAGTTCTCTTTCTAAAGCTAAAGGGAGGGCATGTAATAAGTCACATGTTCATTTACCTCATATAAAAAGATAGCAGAAGTCACTCCCATAAGCATTTTAAGACAAAAATAATTTGTTGAGGTGAAATTTATTAATAAAGGAGTCCCAACTTCAGTCTTGCAGGAATTTATGATGTGTACTAATAAAAAGGTTCATTCAGGAGACCCTTGTTCTCTTGCTGCTAAGAATGGCCACCATTAAGATGTATGTAGTATGTGATTACATAGGGTATGGAGAGTTTAACAACCTCCATTCTGCTGCCCCCACTGCAAACCACTGACTTGTAAAGGATGATCTTGCTTTTAGATTTTACCATATTCAAACTTATTAGGTGGACCTTATATAGCATATATACCTGGCTGCAATTGTGGGGTTTGGGAACATGAGGGGTGGGGTGAACTGTTGTTGTTTTAGGTTTCAGTCAGACAGACATCCCTGTGCCCCAGTTCCCAGAAGCACAGCAGGCCTCTAGGAGCATCCGTGGGAACGGCGCAGTCCTGACATCACCAACTTCTCCTGCTCAGGCTCATCCCATATACAGAGGTCAAAAGGGTGGGGATTGAGATGGGGGAAGGAATGAGAAAGCAGATACAATGTCATTGCAGTGCCACTGTTGACTAGCTTTTGGTGCTTATGTCAGTGTTCGTTTTATTTTGACTTTTTTTTTTTTTAAGTTGGCAAAGTTGTGCATATTTATTTTATGGTGAAGGTAGTGGGAGGGTGGAACAAAAACAAGCCATTACTGTTACCATCCGTTCATTGTTAGATATCATTCCTTAATAATTGATATAGAATATATTTGAAATGTAGACCCCCAGTGACAAACAGATCAAGAATAGAAATGAATCTTAGGTTTTAACAAGCAGAAAACATTTATGCTGTGTTAATTCCCAATTCTCCTATGACTGCTATTACATTTGTCATTCTGTCTGCCTTTTCCCCCTAATTTTCTATGTTGTGTATATACAATTTGAGGAAATATGCATTCATGGTCAATATTTTTAAAAGACTTAAATTTATTACTCTTTTAAAAGAAAAGATCTATATATGTACCTCAGTGCTTATATGGGCATACAAATGCTACCCTATTTTAAATGTAGGTGGAGTATATGTTCGTGTTTTAATGTATTCAGAGCCATTGGGCAATAAGCAGTCCAGAACATTGAAAGCTCAAGCAGGTAAAGCACCTAAACACCCTTAGTTTCTAGAATAACATGTAACTTCCATAATTCTTTGAGTGGTCTCAGAACTTTAAATTTGTAGGAGTTATAGACTGCCTAGTTAAATTTATGAATTATACATTTACACAATTAACATTTATAGGGTAAATGTTAATTTACCCTGTAAATTGTAAAGAAGGTAAAGAAGGAAACTATGACAGAACAGAAAATGAGATGGCAGTTGTTGGGTGTCTGAATCTTTCCACTTTCTTTTTTAAATTTTCCCCACTAGCATGAACATTGATCATACATTATTTGATTTTTGTGATTGGGATTTTTGTTTATGATTTTTTGGGGGGAATATCTGGGTGAGACATGCAAAAGTTTACACATGCGAAAATGTGACATGTTAAAGGTTTTTCTCTTTAGTCTTGAATAGTAAGCAAGAACTTTTTCTATATACCCTTCTGCTGCAGCAGAGAAATAAACTGGTAGGTGGCAGCAGAGGAAGGAGTTCTTCAGATTGATGGCTACTGACATAAAATCTGCATAGGAGAGGAGATATAGAGTATGACATACCAAGTGAAGCAAGGGGGGCAAAAATGGAAACAGATTACTGGATTTTGACTCTAAATGGTAAGTAATTTGTAATCAACGGTATTTTTTTAATCTGATACCAGTGCTGTGTTACATAATTAAAATGGAAAAAAGTTAAGCTGCTAGTACATCTAATGTTTTAAAAATCTTCCAAGAAGAGTATACATTGTTAACCATTTTATAAAATTAAGACTGCCTCATTTTTAGTAGGACTGCTGAAGGGATAATTAGAGAATGTATTTTGGAAAAAAAAATCATGGGGGTAATAAGATATGGTCTACTGGCTGTTTCTTTTTGAACTAGTCCCATTTCCTTGTCACCCTGCATGCACATCAGTCCACTCTGTGTATTTATATTTCTTTCTTGCTTATCTGACTCTTAGTTTTCTCCTCTGCCTCTTTCTATCCCTTTTTAACTTCTCTTACCTTAGTTTGTCTGGATGGTCTTCTCTCTTTCAGAGCCCTTTGGATTTTACTTATCCAATGTTGTTATTTTGCATCTCTGCCTGCCTCTTTTTTTCTTAATAGTTAGTGAGTAAGTGTGTGTGTGTGTGTGTGTGTCTTCTTCCTCCTTTCCATTGGCATTTTTTGTCTGTAACTGCCTAGGCGTCTGTACCTGCATTTAGGTAAGTGAATCCATGTGGCACCATTGTGATTACTTACATATTAGAATTTGGGCTAAATAGAAGACAACAAATCATTTTAATTTTTAGTTGAACATGGACACAATACCTTTGTTTTACTAATTTATTTATTTGATGTGTCGATGAGGATCTATTCCAATGCCTCACATGTGCCATGCAAGTGCTCTACCACTGAGCCACAACCCCAGCCCAGCAAATCATATTTGAAGTTTATATTTACATTAAATTTATAATAAGCTATAGGCCTGGCTATTCAATTACATGTTCATTTTAATTATAGTTTCTTTATTGTTTCCACCAACCAACCTGTTTGTTTATTTGAACAGAAATGAGAGGCAATATAATTCTTAATCTTATTTAGATTTGTTTGTTTTGTTTTGTTTTGTTTTGCAGTGCTGGGCTGTGAATCCAGGGCTTCATACATGCTAAGCAAGTGTTCTACCACTTAAGCTACTCTCCAGCCTTATTTAGGCTTTTAACTTCTAGGTGACTGATTTTTAAAGTCTGTTATATTCAAAACATGAGAAAAGCGGTCATTGTTTTATAGATACATGTATTAGAGAAGATGAATTTTTAGTCTTTCAAATAAAAGTTAAAACGAAGCCGTCTAAATCTTATATACATGAGCATTTCAGAAGCTTTTCTATTCTCTTAAACTAACACACAAATAATTGTTTTCAGGATTTATAGATGATAGAAATATATTATCCAGACAAGTGATTATTTTTTAAAAAGTGAGTTCTCGCTGGGTTTGGTGGCACATGCCTGTAATCCCAGTGAGTAGGTAATTTGTTGCTAATCTGTGCAACATGGCAAGACCTTGTCTCAGAAAAGTGTATGTATGTTTGGGAGGGGGTTACTGGGGATGAAGCTCAGTAGGTGAAGTGAGGCCTGGGTTCAACCCCCAGTACTCAGGGGAGGGAGGGAGGAGAAAGGGGGAGTTCTATTGATATCTATAATTGAGATGCTGACCTACAAAGGTCTGCCATAGAAATTTAGGAAGTTTAAAATGTAAACCTTTTTATTTGAATTTGTAGAAAAGGAAATTAAAGTTTAGAGAAGTTAGTGATTTGCCCAAGATTAGAGAACCAGAACTAAAATCCAAGTTACCTGATTATCAATGTGTAGTACTCTTTGCACTATATACCATATCTTCTTCAAAATCTAATTACTGAACATGGTGTGATGCCACCAAAAAAGTTGTCACTTTCTATGCTTATCGATATCTAATACAGTATGGGGAGTCTGTTAAAGCAGTAGGTTGCCATTTTACATAATGTCATACAGAATTGCTTGTTCATACACTTATTTGTGTTGTGTACATTAAATGGTATTATGAGTACATCATTTCCAGGGTTTAACATTGAAAAGTTATTCATTGTTAAAAGAAGTTACAAAAAGGGCTAAGGATATAGCTCAGTAGTAGAGTGGCTGCCTAGTATATGCAAGGCCCTGGATTCAATCTCCAGCATTGCAAATTAATAAATTAAGATACTTTGTGTTCAAAGAAGAAGAATGGATTTTTTTACATCTAATATACCATTAATTAATTCTCACCTTGCCTACCATCCATTCCTATTCTGGAAAAGAAGTCAGTTTATAATAAACAGCAATCTTTTTTTATTCTGAAATACCTTTTTTTTTTCCTTGCATATTTTTTAGGCCAGCAGGGGGGCAAGTGAATAAATGAGTATTTACTTAGAAAGATAGGAAGTAACATGTAACATGATACTGGAATAACTGATAATATTGTCTATGCAGTAAATTTTAATTTTCATTACTGTGTAAAAAGAAACTACCTTGTATTTTGAAAATTATATTTAGTGCTAAAAAACATGCATATTAGCATAAAATATGAATACACTGTCTTAAACAGCTTTGTGTTAATCAACAATTTTGATTAGTTTATGAAATCATTGATTTGTGTGGTACTAGGGATTGAATCCATTGGCAGTGGTATTCTACTACTGAGCTACATCACCATCCCTTTTCACCTTTAAAAATTTTCAGACAGTGTCTCTAAGTTGCTAAGGTGACCTTGAACTTGGGATCCTCTTACCTCAGCCTCCTTAAAAAAAATAATAATAATAAAGTTATGCTTTTTTAGAGCTGAAAAAAGATGACCAACATGAATTGAATCTAAAATTAAATTATTCCAGTCTATGATTTATTGAAGACTTAGCCTAGAATTTTGTTTGGGCCTTTTAGTACTATATATTTTTTTAAGTTTTTTTTGATATAAGGAATTTTTAATCTTTCTCAATTTTGTCCTCTTGGTACAGTTTTTCTGACTAAAGTGGAACACAATGCTATTGTAGTATTGTTAAGGAATAATACTATTATAGCATCTTTGTGACTGTATTTAAATTATTATGAATATTGTCTGTCTTCCATTGGATTAATTTTTATAAAATGTAAGTAAGCTATTTCTCTGGGGTAGTTTAATCCCTGGGAAAGTATACTTAAATAAGTAACTTTCTAAAATAAATCTAAGTACTTGGGATAAAGAAAAGGAAAGGGAAAAAAGGTGAGCTGTTGTCTTGACAGCATCTTAAATGAAGTAGACATCATTATGGACCTATAAATTGAACTAACTAGTAAGTCTTCACCTACTAGAGAGAACAAATTCTAGAGATTTAGAATAGTTTCTCCTGGAGAAAACTCAAATTTGCTCATACAAAATAATAATAGGTATAGCTTTTAATTTTTAATGATAAGAACATTAAGTATCTTCCAAATTGGAATTAGAATATACTTTTGCTTACTGGGAAAACCAGGACACAGAATGGCAATGTAAAGATTGTAGTCTTTGTTATCTAGCCAATTTGTAGTAATTTATTGTTATGTTAGTTGATATTGTGTCTTTCCCCCCTCTCAACTGATCATAAAATTTATTTAAATCTGTAATTTGAGTTATATTTGTTTTTCCCCCTAGGTTCTCTTGAAGTAACCGGTGATCCTTTGATTATCTCATTAGCAGAATGGATGAAGATAGATTTCACCCTTTTTTCAAGAGAAAAGTAGAAATACACAGAACAAGAAAGCAGTAGCTCTAACTTGTTTGATTCAGTGTGTTTTCTAAAATAAAAGCATCATGAACTGAAAATTGAATAACAGAAAGTGTGACTTGTTGTTTTGACAGCTGTTTCTATCCATTTTATCCTGTTCACTTTTGTCTGGATATCTAAACTTGATATCTAGCTCCATGTATGTCATTTAAAAAATTTTTTTTTTATTTCTCATCTTATGCAAAATGAAACTCTTGAGTTTTTTGGTTCTTAGTCTTTGACGGAACTTTAGTAATTCTGAATAATTACTACTTTTGCACATAGGCGAACCCTAAAATATGTATTATGGATTTCTCCCTGTGCCTTTCATCACTTTATCTGTCCATGCAGAATAATTGTTATTGTATTGTTTTATTTTTAAATCTCTGGAGAGTACTTTTCAAGAGTGGACTTTGTAATCAGATATTAGTACAGATTCCAGTTTCATCACTTAATGATTATAATGACCTTTGGACGAGTTACTCTCTTCAAACCTTAGATATATATTTGTTAAAAATGAAAATAATTGGTGGACTGGGGATGTAGCTCAGTGGTGGTGTTCTTCCATGGTATGTGCATAAGGCCCTAGATTCAATCTCCAGCATAACAACAACAACAACAAAAGAAGGAAATAATTGTTATTAGCTTAATGTGTAAGGATTAACTAATACATGTATGGTGCTTAGCAGGTACTTGAATCTTTAATAAATACTGTCCATTTTATAAATTTTGATTATTGATACTTTATTCAAAGCTATTGAATCATTTTTGTTTTGTTTTATTTTTAATACTAAAAGTTGGATTTTCTTTCTTGGTTTACTTTTTAGTTTTTCTACTTAAACTCCTTTCACCTGATCTCGTAGTGGCTGGAACATGAGGGTGGGGAGAGTTGTTGCCATGGCATTTTTCCTAATCTAGGCTGACAAATTCTTATTTCCACATTTCATTGGATTAGGAATTTTATGTAAGGAAAAAAGAAACATTATATATATTTATATATAAACATATGTATATTTCTTGCTCTTAGTTGGGAAAACTAAATCCTATTGGATTAAGGAATATGCATATGATGCATAATATTAACAAATGGGGGAAATTTAGGTGAAGACAAAATAGAAAATAAAGGTGAGTTAAACCTTGAAAAATGCAAACCATCAGGTTGTGTACATTTCTTAAGTAAATGATAGTGGAACAAAATTGGTTACAGTAGAATAAGATAATGAGAAGATTCATGATATTCTTAAGATAGAAGCAAATTTGTTGTTTGGGAAAAGCAATATTTCTCAAACAGCAGATCAATATCATAACTCTAAATTAACAGACCAATAAAGGCAGTTCAATAAGAAGTCCCTTTTGATGGTCTTAAGATGATCCAGCAAAATAAATTTTAGAATGTCCAGAGGAGTTTTTCTCAAAATATACTTGACCCATCTTATAATCACTTGGGTTATTGGATGGAGATTCTAGGGCCCTCACATGAATCTTTGGATGCCAAAAATATGCTTTTTTGCAGGAGTGCTTTACCACTGAGCTATATCCCCAGCCCTTTTTGAGATAGTCTTATTAAATTGCTGAGGGTCTGGTTAAGTTGCTAAGACTGGCCTCCAACTTGTGATCCTGACTCAGCTGCCTGAGTTGGTGGGATTAAAGGAATGTACCATCACACCTGGTTTGCATTTTGGCACGGTGCAGGTGACATTCATACTAATGCTTGATCACTACTGCTGTAAATCTCATCACTAGTGCTTTTAAGAAACTGGTTGAACTTGCCTAGCATGTGCAAAGCTCTGGGTTTGATCCCCAGCACTGCAAAAACCGAAACAACAAAACTGAAATAGGGGTTGGCCAATTTACCTCTAAAAGGACAAGTAGTAATATTGTAGCCATTGCTTCCTATATATGGTCTGTGGAGTTTTAAACACTTTTAAAATGTAAAAAAATAAAATAAAATACTTAGCTCCTAAGTTATATAAAATAGGCTGGTCTCTCCAGGTGAAATTGTCAAAGGTGACTTCATATGTCGTATCAACATGACCTCACCGCAAATTGTAAGCCCTGTGCTTCAGGCACCAGGAGGTGCTAGGTTGAAAGCAGGGCTTCATGTCCCACAGATCACCACCAAGGATAGCTCACCTGGACTGGGTGGGCCATCTCCACTGCCCGGAGCCTCACTGAGCCTACATGTGTACCCCAGACTAACACTTACTCTGGAAGAATGGGTGGATTGAATGTGAATTGACTATGGTCCATAAATTAATACTCATCTAAATTGAGACTTTGGTGACAGTACTTTTTGAGGTTATTTGCTGTGGTAGGAAAATGTATTGAAATTCTATACAGTGGACCAAGAATGATACTTCAGTGTAGTGCAGGAAAGTGGAAGATATAGTTGATTGATATTCTTATGAAAATTAGTATAAGTGGGATTTTGAACAGATGGTCACTCTTTGCATTAAGGCAGTACTTGTATGATCAAAAAGAATTAAGGCACCCAATCCTTCAGAATTCTTAAGGTTTAAAAGCTTATTAAGGGGCTGGGGATGTGGCTCAAGCGGTAGCGCGCTTGCCTGGCATGTGTGCGGCCTGGGTTCGATCCTCAGCACCACATACAAAGATGTTGTGTCCGCCGAAATATTGAAATTCTCTCTCTCTAAAAATAAAAAATAATAAAATAAAAGCTTATTAAATGTTGACTTTATTATTATAAACAGATGACCTTTGGAAGATTGTTTAGTGTTTTTGTTTTGTTTTTATATTTTCCCTCTATTCAGTTACCACTCACACAGGAAGAATCCATGTATGTGCCTGGCTTTTTTTTTTCTCTCTCTCTCTTTTTTTTTTTTATTATTATTAGTTGTTCAAAACATTACAAAGCTCTTGACATATCTATCATAAGTGCCTGGCTTGAAGCAGGTTTTATAGGAGCTACAACAATACTGAGCTATTGATGTTCTATGATATTTAGAATTTAAATTGTTTAGATTTGAGAAACTGTGGATTATGGCAGTGAAACTTGTTTTTCTCAAAATTGGGTAAAATCAAGAGGTGTAAATGATTTGGCAAAATCTTTGCCACTTTTTTTTTTAAATAACAAGGTTATTGTTTAAGCATACATGACAGTGGAATTTTATGATACTTAGACTCCGAAATACAGGGAAAAGATACAGTCAGATGTGCTAGAAATGTTTTGAGGGAAATGCCTGTAAACGGTAATAAGGGAGAAGATCTAGAAGGCAGGGAATGCCTTCAAATTGAAATCTTGAAAGCTGTGATAGAGGAGAAAGAAGAAAGGGAAATTAGAATAGACCTTCAGATCTCATCTTTGCCACTCCAATGAGGTATCTTAGAGCAAATTACCCACTAAAGTAGTCTTGCATTGTGAAGAAGTGGTGTGATCAGTATGCCCACAGCAGCCCAGCTTCTGTGTGAATGCTGCAGTAGGTCAGGAGTGGCAACTGGAGGTTGTCAGCCAAATATGTTAGTTGTATCTAGTTTGCTTGTTTATTTGTTTGTACTGATGATTGAACCCAGGGGTGCTTGACTAGCTACATCCCCACATCCCCAGACCTTTTTACTTTGATAAAGGATTGTTTAAGTCCTTGCTAAGTTGATGAGACCAGCTTTAGACTTGAAATTTTCCTGCCTCAACATCCTGAGTTGATGGGAATTTATAGACATGCCCCACCACACTCAGCATATCTAGTTTTCTTGAGAAACTTGGGTGGCACACTTTGGGATAACCACATCTCACCCCTTAATATTGCACAGGTCTACTTCACACACATTGAACCCCTCCATAGTTCAGTGAACCTCTGTCATAAATTCTACATTGTATGTTTTCTCACCTTCAATAACAATATTTGCTGTAACAGCTCAATTTGCAGGGTTATTTGCATCATAGCTAGAATCTTCTCTAGGTCTCTACTCAAACCTTGCAGTTTTTCATATCATTCAGTCTATGGGCTGGAACAGTGTTTGTACAAGGTAGCAATAATATGCAACAATCTTTTAACAGTTGATTCCACGTTGTCTACCATTGTGGCTGCACCATTTCTCAATGGGATTTCTTAAGGGATCTGACAACATAAAGCTTGCTGCTGCAGTGCTCATGGGAGAAGAATAATTCTCAGGAAGAGAATAAACTAGAAAGTAAAATCCACTGACACTCCTCCCCTCCTGCTGACCTTACTCTATAGAAGGTATCAACTGTTAAAAGATTGTTGCATATTTCCCAAAAATTGTATATTATAAACATTTCTTAATGGGATCATGACATAAGCAGTGATCCGTAATTTCATGATATATTTTGAGTATTTTGCCATACAAGCAGGTGTATTGCTACCTTGTTTTTTTTTTTAATATTTTTTAGGTGTAATTGGACACAATACCTTTATTTAATTTATTTTTATGTGGTGCTGAGTGTCAAACCCAAGCCCTTACACATGCCAGGCAAGTGTTTTCCTGCTGAGCTACAACCCCAGCCCATTACCTCAGTTTTTTAAACAGTGACATAAAATTCCATTATTTGCTTCTACCAGATCTTGTTTCTTTGGCTTACTTACATGAAGTATCTCAGTATTCTTCCAATGAACTTTCCCTCTTAAATTTTCTCTATTACATGCAGTCAAAGGACTCTAATACAAGAAAAGAGACTGGGAACAAGAGGTAAGCTGTATTTGATATGCTTGCTTAGTACAGCCAATTGAATATTACTTTTAGAAAATAATTGATATTGAGTTAATGGCTGTTGTAGAATTTTTCCCCTCTGCACTGAGCATTGTTGGAGAGGGAATTCTTTGGGGATGGTGGGGGGCGATATATGTATAGTAAAATGGCACCTGGAAAGGTATGGAGAGGCTCAGGAACTATATAATGGTTATATCCAAAGTGGACCTGAAAATTTCATCATGTGGTCAAAATCAGGAGGAAAAACTTGAGTTAATAAAAAATAATGTCTTGCGTCCACAAATTAGTAGAAGTCTTATCCTGAGTGATACTAGATCTAATGGAGGATAGCTGAACTATAACAAGAATGTGGTAGGAGTAAAGAATTGCCGAGTCTGATTAACATTTAGGGATTATGCAGTACCAAGAAAAATAATAAAGTAATTTGCACTTTAATAAAATTTCCAGTTTAATAAAACCATTTGAATATTTGGACGCATTTTGGGGAATATAATCAGAATCCACATTTAATTAGGTGCAAACCTGAATGGTAAATTATTATTGGAATTTGGGGATGAAGGGGAAATTGGTATATCTTTATGAAAATAACATGAAAGGGTTTTTAAGTAAATTTCACATGAACACCACATCATCTGAAGTTGGTTTTTATGAGATGTCCTAAGAGAAATTGTGTATTGTTAAAAGTACAAGACTATATGGCAGAGCATGTATCCATAGGAACTGATTTCTAAAGAGGAAAAGGAACATTTTGCTGAAAAAGCCACTGTGATCAAAGTAACGTGTATGGGAAAATAGTAAGATCTTCCACTTACTGAAAACTGGATAAGAACAGAAAAGTTTGGATTTCGCCACCTACATGCTAGGGACTATATTTTTATGTGACGATAGGCAATTTACAAAGTAAATAATTCCCACCTATTTCTTAGTTTGGATAGATTTTTGTTCTTTATTAATTAACTGTATTGGTTAAAGCAGAAATGGTAAGAGTAATGAGATTTTTGCAGGAATAATTGACCTGGAAACATAATAGCTACAATATAT